TAGCAAATGCCTCCTTTTATAGGCTAAAATTCAGAACTATTCATGTGGTAATTGATAATTGATGTAGTGGCCAACTATTGATTAGTGGACTTGGTGGACAACATCACTCAAGCACTTTGGATGGCTGAATTGACATTGATGCAATCAGAATTTCGCAAAGTGTTCTTCATGACAGTTGTTGGAAATTGTCTTTTCCTTCCACCCATAAAATTGCAGATCATTTGGATCACTACAACTCAAGATATGTCTAAAATACTGATTAGTGCTGCTGGTGGACGTGGTGGATAGCCCTCATGCTCTTGTGTGGATGAAATATCATTTCTACCATCCGAATTTGAGCTGGTTATCTTCATGAAAGTTGTTGGAAATTGTCTTTTCCTTCCACCCACCAAATTTCAGATCATTTGGACTTCTAGAACTCCAATTATGGATAAAACTTTGAGTATTATTTGGGCTGGATTGCAAGACAGATTCAGACTTCTCTTTTGTGGCCAAACTTTGAATTTGAAAATAGCAAATTTGGGTCTTTCCATACCTATGAAATTTGTAAGCCTATTTGTTATCTTTCAAGCCATATAAATTAATATGAAATCCAAGATCTATAACTCTAGATATGATCTGATGACTGAATAGTGTTCAAATTTGAAGTGAATCGGCATCTCCTTCGTAAGCTTAGCCTTTTCTTTGTCCTTTCACTTCCAATAGTTAATCACAACAATCAATCCTTTGAATTATGAGAATACCTGCATTTAAAATGAGTATTTACCATAAATTAAAGGTATCTTATATTATCAGACTTGTTATTACAAAACTTGTTCTAGTTAAGGAGTTATTGATGCTTCAAGTGCAAAATGATAATATAAAGCCTTGATAAAAATGCACTTTTAAGTACTAATCATGATTCGACCCCAGTCTTGCTGAGATATTTATTACTTCAACACTCCTGCACATGGAAGAAGACATCAGTCTTTTGGTCGTGTCACTTGGAGGGGAACATTGCCTATGTGCTCGTCATGGATCTAGGAATCGGGTCATGACACAAAAAACATGTTCTGAAGGTCCAACAAAAATGATACGCTATCAAGTTATAAGCCTGAAAAGATAAATAATGAGAGGGTGAGTTTAACAACCCAGTAAGTAGATAATGTTCAATTTTCACACATGAGGTAATATAGCAATGATGAATATATAGACAATTATGGCTCTATGTTCTTATATGAAGGTTTCTCAAATAGTTTATAACAAGAATATTATAAGATAAAGCTCGTCAGAAAATCAAAATGCAATGAGCATGAGGCTCCGTACTATGGGATGATCAGTCCATATAGGTTAGTGACTTCCCCAACCAACTAGGGTTCAGATATAATGTGCACAAAGACTAACACTACCCTGTTAACATGGGTATTCTGACTGACATACTATAAGTTCATAATCATAATCAAAATGTTTATATCTTAAGGCTCAACTCATGACATCAATCAAATAAAGAGTTATCAATTCAAAAGTAAATTCAAAATATATACTAGTTCATATCAAGAATTCAGATTCAACAATTGATCATGCTTTATCATAATAAAGATAATAATCAACATATGTATTATCAAGAAGCATAATCAACTTCATATTAACAAATCAAATATTTATAATATTTCTCATGCATATTAAAAATTATCTACTCACCTGACTCGAAAGCAACAACACTCAAAAGCAGATACCGAAGAAAATCCTATTAATGTTTCGCTGGTACAATATTAGGATTATCTGAATATAAAAGAGGCATATTCAAGAATGAATCAAAAGAACATTTAACCAATTTAATATACTTAACTAAGGATGTATTCCGTAACTCTATATGTTTTTGAACTAACTAGTCAATTTTCTCAAAAACCTAAAAATTAAATAGTTTTCCTAAAATCTAATCTATAATAAAATAAATAATAAGACTTGATAATAATTCACTAATTAACCCTCAATTATTCATCAAACCAATCTGCAAAAGATAATATTACAGCTAGGGACCAATATGGAATTTATCATATTTTTAATGGTCAAATTGTAACTTTTTCAAATTGGAGGACCAAACTAAAAATATCATAAATTCATGCTTATAGTGTAATTATGTCTATAATTCATCCTCATTTCTATCCAGAATCTCTACTTATGCTCTAGGGACTATTCTGGAATTTTTTCAAATTTTTAAGGTCAAATTGTAATTTTTGTCAAATGGGAGGACCAAATTGAAAGTGTTAAAAATTTATAATTATACTAGAATTCTGCCCATAATTCATCTTTTAGGAATATGCTCCAGGGACCAATCTATAATTTTTTCAAAGTTTGGGGACTAAATTGTAATTTTCACAAATTGAGGGACCAAACTGAAATTTCTTCATCATAACTCAAAATTATCATCTTTAGCTACAATCTCTCAAAATCAACTACACAATCCATTACCCACAACAATCAACTCATAACATTCAAATTAATTCATTAGTCAACCCTAAATAAAATCTTCAAAACCCTAATTATTTATCAAAATAAAAATTTAAAGCTAAAGAAAACATATCATATACATTAAAGTATAAATCTGACCCTTTTAACTTATTTTTCTCAAATCCTTTTTATTTCCCTTCTAATTTCCCTCTTTTCTTTTCTTCTTCTTCTTTTCCTTTTCTCTCCAGCTAGTTATCTCTTAAATTTTCAAATCCCTCTTTCCCCCTTTTTTTTTATATTTATATTTATAAAGCTTGTTGAATTATTACAATACTCTTTATTCATTTATATTTACTTTAAGTTTGCAAGGACTTTGTTGTTTTTTTCTATCTATTTTAATTCAAAACATCACAGTTATATACTTTTTATTCGTGAATTGTTATTAAATGGAAGTATCAGATTCTAATAATATTAGTGTTTACATTCAAGGTTATTTCTATATCACATTTCCAAAACTGATTTTTTACTTTTCAAAAATTGTATTGTTTGCAAATGAATTGTGTCTCCAGTTCTAACAAGCTGGGGAGGAGCTCGGGAGTGTAGGAGGTGCCTAATCCCCTGCAAAAGTCTTAAAAGTTTGTAACTAGACCTAACTTTAATTTCTTTTTTTAAGGAAAATTTTGTCGCTTTCCATAAGAGATATAAATCCCTAGTTAAAAAGACAATAGCCACACCAGCATCCTAAAATCCTTCCTTCCTCTATTGTTTTCCCTGGCCCTCACCCACTAAAATCATTCAATTTAGGCGGCCTAAAATTCTAAGCCACAACAAAGAATTTCAATTCAAGTTTGGCTTCAACAAAAAATTTACAAGGAGCTACTTGGATAGTGCTGGTAATATGCTTAGGAGTATCCATAGGTTTACTGTTAATTTTTCTGTCGTTTTCATTTTGTATAGCTTATAAATTGCGTTTCTCAATTTTCTTTCTTAGCTCTGATCCGGACAATGTACCCTTTCTTTTCATATAATATGATTTATTAGTATATAATAATGCCCGTTTCAATCACTGAAGCCTTATTTTCTCTTGTTTATCAACTTTTTCTCGACCCTTCTCACACAATCACATTAATTTTCTTTAGAGTTATTGACTCAACTTTTCACTCAAAATATATTTTTTATTATTATATAATAATATCTTGTCATTTTCACTGTTAATATATTTATACTAGTATACATTGTTTGATATTTGCAACGTGTTTAACTTTAAACTGCAATCCATTCTATTATTATTAATATGATATAAAATTTCTATGAGTGTTATTGATATTGTTATATTTATTTAATAATAAAAATGTTTGAAATTTTTGTTATTTTGTTAAGAGTTGCTAGTATATTTACATCAATGTTTTCATACCAATAACTCATTTATTTATAAATATAATAAAATAATATTTTTTTTATTTTGTAAAATTTATTTTTAAAACAGTATATTAAAATGATATAAAAATATAAAAACTTTATATGTATATTCCTTAAAAAGAGTGGTTAGTTATTATGAAATTCCTTTTTTTTTTTCATTTTTTTATGGTTTTAAATTTAACAACGACCAAAAACTATCATAGTATAAAAATTATCAACTTGATAATTCAAAAATAAAAGCCTTGAGACGAATATTTTCACATCTAGCAAGGCCAGCCATTTTGTAATATAACAAAGTGAGAGCAGCAATGGTTTGCATCCCCATGCTTGTTTTCGGCTTCATTTCATTTCTGATTGTAAAAACAGCCACACCTACTGACACCATAAACACAGCTCAGTTCATTAGAGATGGAGACACTATAGTTTCAGCTAGGGGGACCTATGAATTAGGATTTTTCAGCCCCGGGAAATCCAAAAACCGATACTTGGGGATATGGTACGGCAAAATATCTGTCCAGACAGCAGTTTGGGTTGCCAACAGAGAAACTCCACTTAACGATTCCTCAGGTGTCGTAAGGCTTACCAACCAAGGAGTTCTTGTTCTTCTCAATCATAGTGGAAGCATCATTTGGTCTTCCAACACATCAACACCTGCTAGGAATCCAATTGCGCAGCTTTTGGATTCAGGAAACCTTGTTGTGAAAGAGGAGGGTGACAATAACATGGAGAATTCCTTGTGGCAGAGTTCTGATTATCCAGACAACACACTATTACCGGGCATGAAGGTAGGACGGAATATAATAACTGGCATGGACTGGCACTTGATATCATGGAAGTCACCAGATGATCCTCCCAGAGGTAATATTTCAATAATCCTTATTCCTGATGGATATCCGGAGTATGCAGTGTTAGAAGATTCAAATGTGAAGTATCGAGGCGGGCCATGGAATGGTCTGGGGTTCAGTGGCTTGCCTCCGGTTAAAACCAAATCCAGTGTACACATTTGAATTTGTTTTTAATGATAAGGAGATATTTTTCAGAGAAAATCTTCTTAATAAGTCAAGGAATTGGAGGGTCGTCTTAAGTCAGAGTGGTGATATCCAGCACCTCCTCTGGATCGAGCAAACTCAAAGTTGGTTTCTTTATGAAACAGGAAATACAGATCGCGTTATGCACTCTGTGGCGCAAATGGTATCTGTAGCATTAACAACTCTCCAGTGTGTAATTGCTTGAACGGATTTGTACCAAAAGTTCCAAGAGACTGGGACAAGACAGATTGGTCAAGCGGTTGCGTTAGAAAGAGAGCACTAAATTGTTCCAGAGATGGGTTTCGGAAGCTCAGAGGTTTGAAGATGCCGGAGACAAGAAAATCATGGTTCAACAGGAGTATGAACCTGGAGGAGTGCAAGAACACATGCTTGAAGAACTGCAGCTGTACTGCGTATGCCAACTTGGACATCAGGAGTGGAGGAAGTGGTTGCTTGCTTTGGTTCAATGATTTGATTGATATGAGAACTTTCCTTCAAAACGAGCAAGACATTTTTATACGGATGGCTGCATCAGAACTAGGTATGAATTTATCCTCAGATTAGAGAAGTCGTTTTTTTTTTTTTTATTAGTATTATTAAAATTCGAAATATATTCAGATAGAAAACTAGCAAGCTATTGGAAAAAGGATACTTTTCTTGCAAGGCTATCAGCAACAGAGTTTCCTTCTATTTTAGTCTCTGAGCGTATCCAAACCAAGCTATTAATTTTCCCTTATACACAGCTAGATTAGTCATGACTTGGTGATGGTAACACCAGTTTTTCTGTACCATGTTATAGATAACGGTGGCTCTGCAAAGGCTAATACCAAATCCAAAGTGAAGAAAATGATCATAGTAAGTTCTGTGTTGTCCACTGGGATTCTGTTCGTTGGCTTATGCTTGGTCTTGTATGTTTGGAAAAAGAAGCAGCAGAAAAACAGTAAGTATTTGTTAAATTAATTCAGATTAAAATAAAATAAAAATGAACATAAAAGAGAAGGAGACTGAAATTCTCATTATTCTGTTTATTCTAAAGTGCTTGAGTTAACTTAAATACAAAGAGATTATATATAGATTAAATTGAAAATATTATTCTATCCTTAATAAATAAAACATAAATAAATGTATTATTTAACATCTATACTTAAACTCACGATACGACAGCTATAAGTATCGAGAGTTTGTCAACTAGAAAACGAAAACAAGAGATAAAATGTGACTTGGTAAAGAGATCTGCAATATGTAAGAAAAAAGGAACAAAAAGTAAAGTAATGGTGCCATACTTGAGATGATGACGAGTAAGATAACAATCAATCTCAATGTGTTTAGTTCACTCATGAAAAACCGAGTTGTGAGCAATCTGAATAGAACTCTAATTGTCACAATATATAGAAGTAGGATGAAAATGGAAAACTTCCATGTCAACAAGTAACCAACGTAACCAAACAATTTCCTTGGTAATAGATGTCATAGCATGATATTCTACTTTGGTTGAGAATTAAAAACAATAGATTGTTTCTTACTCTTCCGAAGTAGGATGAAAATGGAAAACTTCCATGTCAACAAGTAACCAACGTAACCAAACAATTTCCTTGGTAATAGATGTCATAGCATGATATTCTACTTTGGTTGAGGATTAAAAACAATAGATTGTTTCTTACTCTTCCAAGAAATAAGAAAATCACCTTGAAAGATACAGAAACTAGTAATAGACTTGTGATCTATGGGATCACTACCATGATCAGCATCAAAGTATGAATGCAGCTCCAAGAAAGAGGTGGATGAAAATAAAAGACTCTGAAAAACTATACCCTGAAAATATCGCAAAATATAAAGAACAGCCCCCTAGTGAACAATAGTAGAAGAAGAAACAAACTACCTAACAATATGAACAACATATGCAATATCTAGATGAGCAATGATGAGATATACCAAGCTACCAACAATAGTATGATATAAAGTTGGATATGTCAAAGGTAAACCATCAGAAGAAGAATACCTTCTATTAACCTAAATGGGAGTATCTACAGTTTTGTTATTAATAAGTCTAACCTGCTCAAGAATATCTACAACATATTTTGACTGAGAAAGAAGATAACCTCTAGGTGATGAAGCTACCTCAATACCCAAGAAATATCAAAGATAACCCGAATTCTTTATTTCAAATTGTCTAGCCACCTTTGTCTTCAAAACTAAAATACCATCCATATCATCACCAGTAATAATCATGTCATCAACATATAAAGATAGAATGATATGACTTGTATTAGTGCACTTAATAAAAAGAGCAGAATCATGACTACTAGAAACAAATCCAAGAGATAAGATCATAATAGAGAATTTCTCAAACCAAGCACGAGGTGCTTGTTTGAAACCATTTAATGCTTTCTTAAGCTTACAAACATACCTAGAGTCATGTGAAACACTAGGAGGGGGCGTCATATAAACTTTTTCTTGAAGATCTCCATTTAAGAAGGCATTTTTAACATCAAGTTAAGAGATATGCCACTGACAAATTGAAGCTACTGTAATAAGAGTGCGAATAGCAGTTATTTTTGTAATAGGAGCAAACATCTCCTTATAATCCATACTATATTATTGAGAGTATGTTTTTACAACCAACTTAGCTTTGTATCACTCAATAAACCCATCAGAATTGGTCTTGATCTTATACACCCCATGCCAACCAACTACACTCTTACTAGGAGGTAGAGGAACCAAATCCCAAGTATCTGTCTTATGCAAAGTAAAAAGTTTCTTGTCTATAGCCTGCTGTTATAGAGATCAAGAATTGCCTCTTTATAAGAAAAGAAATTAGATAAACAATGAATAGAAGCTAAAAAGAAAGTAAACGATGAAGAATAACAAGAATAAACAAAATCTAGTAGTTTTGTGGACTTACGAATATGTATGTATAAATGTAAAGGTGGATCCACAATCTTAGATAAAGCTTGAGAACTTGTAGATAAGAATGGAGCTTTAGGCTTGCTGGAGAGTAAAGCATCAGTACCTGCAGAATTATGAGTATAAATTGGTTGAACATGGAGAGGAGTGTCTGAGGTACTAGGAACCTCAGATAATAAACTATCAAAATCCTTAAAAAAAAAAAAGATCTATATGAATAAGATCAGGTCTATTCAGGTTATGAGTAATCGATGGAATAGAAAAGAAAGGTATATGCTTAAGAAAGACAATATAACAAGACACATAAAGTTTTTGAGTTGTTGGGCCAAAACAACGATACCCTTTTTTTACCTTCACCATAACCTAGAAAGACACAAATAGTAGATCAAGAGGACAATTTACGGCGTTCTACATGAGGATAAAGAACAAAACAAGTACAACAAAAAACTCTAAATGAGAAATAATCAGGAACACACCCATATAACTTTTCAAAAAGAGACAAACCCGAACTATGAGATGATGTGATGCAAATCTCGTGATCACGCGGTCACGCAACTTACAAATAAGATTGAGATTGGATACTGGAAAGCCGAAATAGGTCTGATAGGGATGTGATATACTAGAAACCTACCCCAAGGCACCACCTCTATTAGAATGAATAGAATGACGTCAAGATATCAGTTAATCTTTGATAAGTTAGATTTAGTTCATTCAAGAATTGAAGAATGCAAGAATCACTCTCACACGTTAAAACAGAAAAATTTAGAAATAATTATCATCAAAGCATAAAAATTTGGCTTACATGAGTTTAAATAATTCTTAAAAAATTAACCCTAATAGATTAACCCTAATGGACCCCTTATATGGACTTATATGAGGTCCACTGAAAACTGACTCAAAACCCTAAATTGAAAAGCCCATAACTTAATCCAAACAAGCCTTGGATCTTAACTAAAAACAAAGTATTAATTAAGTCTAAACAAGCCTTAGGTTGTAGCTAAGAAAATCAAATAAAACCCCTAATATTAAATCCATGTTCTACTATGAGAAGAAGAGAAGGAAGTAAAATATTACAGAACTGATTCAAGATTTATTTATAGCCTTTCATGTTGCCCCTTAATCCTAGAAACAAAAGGAAAAGGTAGCCACCTATGTTGTTTCCAAATTGTAGTATGATTATTTTGTTTCCTTTGTTGTTCTCACCTCATAGCCCAAATAAGGTTGTATTTAACCTCTCTTGCACTTGGATAAGATGTACTAGGGTCTCTCCTTGATACTCTAATAGACCTTTCAATTATAATTTGGTTGAAACATTCAAAACAAATGCATTCAATGCCTTTGTCTTGGACCTAGTCATTGGACCATTTGGAACATGTAATGGGTCTTTGCTAGTTTCTGGGTTGGTCCACATCACGATGAAATGGTATTAATCAAACTTACAACAGTATGGATAATCAAACTTATAGTAAGGACAACTTCTTCCTAAAACTCACTAGAAACAGAAGAAGACAACAATAAAGAATGAGTAGTTTTGACAATATACTTATTTTTTCTTTTAGCAATTTTATTTTGCCCAGGAGTATCTGTACATGAAGTTTGGTGAATGGAAGGCAAAAAAGTGACAAAATTTATTAGAGGTGTATTCTCTACCTAAATCACACCTAAAATATTTGATTACAGCAGAATGTTAAGTTTTTACAAGAGCTTGAAAGGTTATATATATCTCAAAGAATTCAAAATGATGTTTCATTAAATAAACCCACTAATAACGAGTATGATCATCAATAAATAAAACATAATATCGAGACCCCTTTTTTATGATAATAGAAGAAGGTCCTCATACATTAGAATGAATAAAGTCAAATGTGAAAAAGAAACAAAAATAATTTGATTAAAAGGTAAAGCAAAAATTTTTACCAGTTTACATTCACTACAATAAAAAATATCACAAGTTTTTAAATTTTCTAAAGCTCTTGTGGTTGCTAAAAATTTCAAACGAGAAGATGAAACATGAGTTAGACGAGAATGTCATAAATAAAAACTAGAAGATGAAGAATTCAAATGAAAAGAAGACAAATTAACAGTAGTAGTAGCAGCAGTAGCAATCGACACTTTTAACTCATCTAAAATATATAGTTTAATTAGCTTCTAAGACTAGAGATCTTGTACTTAATAAAAATAAAAAAAGAAATAACTAAGTAATCATCAGAATCACATAACTGATCAACAAAAGTAAGATTCAATTTGAGTTTCAGAGTAAGATAAACATTAGGGAAAGACAAGCAAGGTGTGATAACAAAACCAACACCTGCTACGGGCATGAGAGTGTCATCAACAGTTATAACTGGAATAGAAGGTGAAGGGGACACAAAGGTAAAAGATGAAGAATCTAGAGACTTATGATGTGAAGCACCAGAATCTAAGACCTATTCAGAACATGATATACCTAAGGAACTATAAGACAACTAACCTATGGAAGGAGAAGCGAACATTGTTTATGGCTGTAAGGAGAGAAACTTCTAAGATTGCTTAGCTAGATTACTAGGATCAGTGATAGATACTGATGAAGTTACTGCTACAATATTATGGTATGGTGATTTATAACCCTAAAGTGGTCTATAAGCATTTCATTGTGACTGACTGTCATGCTTTTAAACTTGATTATGTTGTCTTAACTTGGAACGCTAGGCCTTCTAATAACCTTTCTACTTATAGAAACTACATTAATCAAAGCCAACTCTTATGTAAGGCTTATTCTGATGATTAGAAAATGGTTTAGAGGGTATTTCTCTATCCAATAACTCACTAACAACAAAGTCAACTGAAGGCAATGGAGAACGATGCATAATTGAACCTCTAAATCCTTCAAAATCACTGTGAAGTGCTGTTAAAAATTATACCGATCATTATTGCTCTCTACACTCAATATAGGCACCACATGCCTTTAATTCTGCCGATTCTATAAGAGCTAATTGATCCTAAAGACCTGTCATAGCAGAATAAAACTCTTGAATACTCATATTCTTCTGATGAAGAGCTCGTATGTCATTCTCTAACTGATATTGCTTTGCAAAATTTATTTGCGTGAATAACCTTTGCAGATGATCTCAAACCTCCTTTATTGTCTCATACTTTGCCAACTGCATACCTATGAAATGCTCAACAGAACTGTTGATCCAAATAATAATTTTTGCATTGTTTACTTTCCATGTATCTATCAAAATAACATTCATCCCCTTCCTTAGTATTACTGGGTATCACATAAGTTCCACTAATATATCACCATATCTTCTTACTCTTAAGAAATTTTTTCATTACATAACTCTAATATGAATAATTATTTTTATTCAACCTCACACTCACATACTAAAGCAAATTATCTCTTTCAATGGCTATAATTAACCAACAAAACCAAAACACAAAAGCAATGAAAGACAAAGTACCAGATTGCATAAACTAAATAGATATCGGAGGAACAAAATAAATATCTTCTCGAAATTATATGATTACTCCAAAACACAACATAAATTAAAGAAACTAAACGCAAATATTAAATTACAGAATCTGAAGGAAAGATGAAATACTAGATTTGCAGAAGTGGAAGACAAAATATCACTCCAAAAACAATAGGATTACATTTTGTTTCATAAAATCAGCTATAATATCATGTTAAGTTAATTCAGATTAAAATAAAATAAAAATAAATATAAATATAAAAAAGGAGGAGGTTAGAATTCTTATTAATCTGTTTATTCTAAAGTATTTGAGTTAACTTAAATACAGAAAAATTATATATATGTTAAAGTGAAAATATTATTTAAAACAGAAATAAATGTATTATTTAACAGTATTCACACCATACAAGATTGGGTATGGCAACGTATTCCTATTGCACCAGTCCTGGATCATTAGATAACAAGATTGGGTTTTTAAAAAAAAAAAACTTAAATTTGATTTTCAGTAATGGAAGGTATGACTGTAAGAACGTTGTTTAAAGCCCCGTTGCGTTTGATGCTATAAAAATCTTGAGTTTAGCAGCAAATAGAGATCCTTTCTCTTTCTTTCTATTTTTTCAACAAGCGTAACAGTTATGCTGACAGGAAAAAATGACAGGTAATTTGCAAAGAAGATCAAATAACAAGGACTTGAAGAAAGAACTGGAATTACCCTTCTTTAACATGGATGTGTTGGCTTGTGCAACAAATAAATTTTTTGTATCCAATAAACTAGGACAAGGGGGTTTCGGACCTGTTTATAAGGTAATAATTATCCATAAATAGTCATACAATATTTCATACAATATAGAACTCCAGGCACCAATGGAGTTCTGTGGTATTGAAATTGTTCCACTACAGAACCAACCTTTTTTAGCTTAAAAGGATGACTAATTGGAAAGAATTCCTGAACAGATACAAGCTGCTTGAAATTTTCTAAGAATTCAGCAGACAACGTATGATTTGCTTATGATGCTGAGTAATTATTTACAGGGAACATTAACAAATGGACGAGAAATAGCTGTCAAGAGGCTCTCTAAGAATTCACGACAAGGACTTGATGAGTTCAAAAATGAAGTCAAACATATCGTGAAACTTCAGCACCGGAATCTCGTGAGGCTTCTTGGATGCTGCATCGAAAGGGATGAAAAAATGTTGGTCTACGAGCTTTTGCCTAATAAAAGCTTGGACTTCTACATTTTTGGTATGAATCTCACAAAACTTTACAAAAAGCTATTCCAATGTTTCAAATTGAGCACTACTGAGCTTCCATAATGGATTTGACATCAATTGTTTAGTCATCTATTGAGCATCGTCCAAAGCCCTTCGGAAGGTTGTTTTGTAGGGGAAGATTTCTCCACTTTCATGCTGACAAATTCTGCCATATATGTATATGTAATTGTAACTCAAAATTCACTGATCGTAACTTATCATCTCCTTTTTTCTTGTTCCTTCGCCAACATTTATGAATCTGATAAGAGATGTAATGGATTGACTTGAGAAGATGAAACTCGAAGCTTGCTACTAGATTGGCCTAAGCGCTACAACATCATCAACGGGATTGCTCGAGGACTCCTTTATCTTCACCAAGATTCGAGACTAAGAATAATCCACAGAGATCTGAAAACCAGCAATATTTTGTTGGATTACGAAATGAATCCAAAAATCTCAGACTTTGGCCTGGCTAGAAGTTTTGGAGAAAATGAAACTGAAGCCAATACTAATAAAGTGGCTGGAACGTAGTGAGTGTCTTCATCTCCATCATACGCATTTTGTCTTCATAGTCTGCAAATGGAACTTAAAATTCTATGAATACATGCAGTGGTTACATATCTCCAGAGTACGCAAATTATGGGCTCTACTCGCTAAAATCAGACGTCTTCAGCTTTGGAGTATTGGTGCTAGAGATAGTGGGTGGCTGTAGGAACAGAGGATTCCGTCATCCAGATCACCACCTCAACCTTATTCGGCATGTAGGCCTCAAAGCTATGTTACTTATTATCTTTAATTTCAATATATTATTGAGTACTTTTTTCAGAAACCAGATGCCTGCACATTTTTAATGAGACCTGAACACTTTAAATCTTCAATGTGTTATTTAGTGACAGCATGATTTTGTTTATCAGGCATGGAGACTGTTCAAACAAGGTAGGCCTCTGGAACTGGCTGCGGGATCAAAAGTTGAAACACCCTATTTATCTGAAGTGCTACGTTCAATTCACGTGGGGCTATTGTGTGTGCAAGAAAATCCAGAAGATAGACCAAACATGTCATATGTGGTTTTGATGTTGGGCAATGAAGATGAATTGCCTCAGCCTGAACAACCAGGATTTTTCACTGAAAGGGATCTTGTTGAAGCAAGCTATTCATCGAGCGAGAGCAAACCACCTTCGGCAAACGTATGCTCAGTTTCAGTGTTAGAGGCAAGATAGATTACTTGTATTTTTATTCTTATGAAAACTTGTGTGCTCGTTATGCGTGGTCTTGATGTTTGTGATCGTGTGCGCATAAAAACTCTGCTGAATGTTTAATTTCTAGGAAATTATTAACATTTTTCTGTGAGAAAAAAAAAAAAAAAAGGAAAGCTGAGAAGTTAACATTTAATCCAAATACAAATACAATGGGGAGGGACTTAAGCAAACTGGGCTCTGGGCTCGGCTTGGTTGACGCCTGGACTTATATATATTGTAAACTAATTTTTTGTATTACAAAATATTATTTTATCCCAACTTAAATTTGAACTTGGGTTTGGCTCATAAAGAATTGCCAGTTCAGTCCATGAATGGTAAAACTAATTAGTTTTCTTCTAGAAGAATTTTTGTAAATCTAAACAGTTTTTCCCGCTCAAAAAACATGTAATTTAAAATTACAAATGTTTAGGTTTAATTCAAATTTTATAAAAGGTAATCAAAGCTAAGAAGAGAATTTTATCAACTTTTGGTTCCTAAAATTGTCTATAAAAAGGATTGAAGAAGAATGTTTTCAAGTTGGTTTTTTTACACTATTTGGATAGATTTTTCTATAGAATTTAACATTTTTCTTCACATATTTTGCATCTTAAATCTTCAGGTTTTTTAATCTTTATTTTTTTATTTTTCTCATAATCTAGAGCGTTATTTCAATCCATGTAGAAAGATATTAAGTATAATTCATTTGTGGTAGATTTTTCTATAGAATTTAATATTTTTCTTCACATATTTTGCATTTTAAATCTTCAGATTTTTTAATCTTTATTTTTTTATTTTCCAAAGTATTATTTCAATCCATATAGAAAGATATTAAGTATAATTCATTTGTATCTGTTGAACATTGTTTATAAGTGCACCTAAGGGAGATGGTGTTGTTGAAATCCTGTGAGGTTTATTGAAGTGAGTTTTTTTTGCACAATGTGAGGAGCTATAAAACTTTAAGGATAAATGATTTTAACGTTGACAAAAAAAAATTGAGATTGGTTATATTTTAAAATTTTCAACAAGTAATTACTTTAAATTGGTTTTGTGTAAGTATATTTTTTTATACAAATTTAGTATACATACTAGGATTGTATTTTCATATCTTATGCAAGTCTACATATTGACTTAATATACATGCTATCTTTTTTTATTCCACGGTTACCATGTTCTTGATAGATCTTAAAATCCATACACACATCGATCCATATCTTACGCAAGTCTACATATTGACTTAATATGCATGCTATCTTTTTTTTATTCCACAGTTACCATGTTCTTGTTAGATCTTAAAATCCATACACACATCGATAACAATAAATTTAACGTAATATTTGGGAGTTCCTTGAATTTCATTAGATAGATCTAGAGTTGTATCATTTCCATGTGAATTATGTGACCAAGTGCTTATAAATAGAGGCAAAGCTAGAGGGAGGTTAATAGGGGCCTTAAGCCATACAAAAGTCTTAAGATTTTATAACTAGATTAAATTACTTTAAAATAAAAAACAAAAAGAAAAATATTATCATTTTTCATTAAAGATATAAATCTGTAATTAATAATAATTTAGATTTTGCATCTTTCTTCGTGAGTGTGTGAGGGTGAGTTTTTTCTCTTATATTAGTTTTCTAACTAACTAAATTAACTTATTAAAGAATAATTGTTTATATATTGTCATCCTATACTTATTATTCACTAGGGTAATCAGATTCTAATAGTATTGGTATTTTTGTTAAAAGTTATCTATGTGCCACATTTTCAAATCTAATTTCTTGACTTTCTAGAAGTCGTATTGTTTTCATATAAGTTATGTCACCAAGTTCTCACAAGCAGAGGCAGAGCTAGGGGGAGTTTAGTTGGGGCTAAGCCCTTGCAAAAGCCTTAAGATTTTATAACTAGATCCAACTCTATTATATATATATATATATATATATATAAAAGGAAAATGTTGTCTTTTTCCATAAGAGATACAAATCCCTAGTTGAAAAGACAATAGCCGCACCAGCAACCTAAAATCCTTCCTTCCTCTATTATTTTCCCTCACCACCAAAATCCTTCAATTGAGACTGCCTAAAATTCTCCCTGCTTTTTTCTAAGCCACAACAAAGAATTTCAATTCAATTTTGGTTTATTTTCAATTTTTGGCAAGTTAACTTCTCATTTTTACTTCTCTTCACACAGGTTTCAACAAAAAATTTACAAGTAGATTATAGAAGGAGCTCCATAGGTTTACTGTTAATTTTTCTGTCGTTTTCATTGTGTATAGCTTATAAATTGAGTTTCTCAATTTTCTTTCTTAGGTCTGATCCGGACAATGCACCCTTTCTTTTCATATAATATGATTTTTTAGTATATAATAATGCCCGTTACAATCACTGAAGCCTTATTTTCTCTTATTTATCAACTCTTTCTCAACCCTTTTACCTGAACTGCAATGCAATCTATTATTATTAATATGATATAAATTTTTCTATGAATGTTATTGATATTGTTATATTTATTTAATAAAACTATTAAAAATGTTTAAATTTTTTGTTATTTTGTTAAGATATACCTACAACAATTTTGATGGTGATCCACTATAACAAATAATAATAATAAAACACTATTGCTTTCATACCAATGGTATAATAATAATTATTTTTTAAAGTATTTTTTATTTAAAAATGTAATAAAATGATATATTTAAAAAAAAAAATATTTTTAAAATAGCACATCAAAATAATCCAAAGTATAAAAAATAATTTTAAGTAAAAAATTTAAAATTTCAAAAACTGAAAAGAAGTTATTTTAAAGTTGTACAGTGCGAGTGAAGTAAAGGAATATATCTATTAAAATTGAAAACTCAATAAAATATCTAGGGAGTGAATCTTCTCAACAAATGAGTTGGAAACACAGATTTTCTGCATTATATACTTTAATCTTACTATTATAGTATGATTAAAGGGAGATTCTGTGCATAATAATCATCCCATTGATTATATCAATTAGGCAAATTAGCTTTAATAAAAAAGAATTGACAAAAAACTTTACTCAGCATTTGCAAAACATAGTCAAATCTACCAATTGGGCTAGATTGCATTAAATTATAAGATGTTTAACAAATAAAAACAAATTAATGTTTATAAAATAAAAACAAAACCATAATCTTTTTCGAGAATATAATCTGGAATTAATGTTTATAAAATAAAAAGATGGTTTCAAAAATTAAAAAAATAAAAGATGCAAGAAATTAAAAGTTTAAAAAATAATTAATCATTAAAAAATTTTAAAACATAAAAAAAGTAATTAAATATTTTACTGAATCTTACTTTTTTATATTGCTAAAAACTAATTAACATAGTTATTCTTTTTGTTTTTATTCTCTATTGAGTAGTTTTTTTAATTGATAAATCACCATCCATTCTATTGCTACCATCTCCTACTATTGTTATCACCTATTACTACCATTATCTCTTTATAAATATCAATAGAGAATTTTTATAACACAAAAATGTTTCATTAAAATTTAAAAAATGAAAGTTTGACTAATACATTAATTATGTACCACATAAAATAAAACACAATGAACTAAATAAAAATAAACCCGTGCTTGAAAAATAGATGCATTATTAAATCTTTTATCAAATTTTAAATAAATAATTTATCCTAATGAAATCGAAAATGTTCTGAATCCCACAAATAATTGATCCTAATAAATAACCTATTCTTTTATCTTTTGTAGTTTTTTTCATGCTAAAATTAATATAAATACTTTTTTATAGTTTGAATTTTTTTTCTATTCTAGTTTAATTCCAATTTGGAGTATAACCATAAAAATATATTTTTAAAATAATTTAAAAGTAGGATAGAACTCTAATAGACGTAGGATATTCTTAATTCAATTAAGACAGATATAAAAAATTTATAAATTATAATTTTTTTCATGCAGTCCAATGAAAATATCACAACTAGACATATGTTTTTTTATTTATTTATAGAGTGGTTAGTTACTATGAAATTCCTTTTTTTTTTTCAGCCTTTTTATGATCCTAAATTTACATGGACATATAGAAAAGACAGATAAATGACTCCTTAAGCTTATAGGGCCGTAATTCAGAGTCCACTATTAAAATAATAATTATTTTTCGAAAATATTTTAAAAATAAATAAATAAACAGCTATAAATGAATGTACCGCGGATCAGTCTTCCCTTGAAGTCTCCAGCACCGACTGCTCTTGGCCTCTTTCACTTGACAAGGAATAGGCTTCGCTCCACTAGCCTTGATTGGTGGATGGAAGCACCGACGACAGTCCGGTGGTATGCCACTTCCATGATTCCTTAAGCGTATAGGGTCGTAATTCGGAGTCCACTAGCCTCAATTTTCAAAGTAAATGATTCCTTAAGCTTGATGTTTTAAGTCTTAAAGTAACGTCAACCATTTTTGGAGCAAAAGTTCCCAGAGTCTGCAAGAATTAGTTCGCCCAATTACTATTCCTTCATGTATTTGTCATCATTTTAATTCATAGAAACACATATCATCAAGTCAAAGATTCGAATAAAAAACCTTTCTTCTTCCTTTATCAATGGCCGGCCACACACTTCCTTAGGAACTATTTTTTTAAAAAGAAATTTCTTATTATTTCAACTCTATTCTATGTCACAAACATCAATTGAATGCAATTTTGCATCACCCAAAAATTCATCATGAATTCTAATCTCAATTTGATGAAAAATTCAATGGAAATTCAGCAAGAACTTGTTAAATGGACATTGGAACACCTTATCAAAGAGTAATCTAAGCTCCAATTGCTAACCAATCAAGGATTTCCACCTCTTCTTTCTTGCTTGTTGTTGCCACCACTTTCTCCTCACTCTATTCCCAAATTTCTTCTCTAAACACTTTAAATCTAAAGGATTTTGTTGCCATTTAGTATCTCTAACTCTTTTCTTTTTCATTGTATTTCTCTAGATTTTCTCAAGAATTTTTAAATAAAATGGAGTTTTTTCCCTCTCTTCCTTCTTTATTCTCCATGGCCGGCTGCAACAAGCCTGATATAGGCAACAATTTTTTAAATTCTCACTATGTCCCTTTAAATAATAATTTTTATAGTTATCGGGTATTATTTCTGCCTTCCCGATATATTTTTAATATCAATTCTCAACAGGCAATGTTGAATTTACAGAAATATGGCAGCTTTTTACACAATATTTCATACTAACA